CTGCCAAATCTAATTGAAATAAATAATTTAATAAGCGTTAAATATATACTACCATTCTTGATAGTTCGGACACTTGCATAAATTTTATCAAATGGATGATTAAATTTAAGACATTATTATAAAACGTCGATTATGTTACTTTGTCACAGATATTAAATAGGAACCCTTTCCCTTACGTTTAATAACATTTTTGTTATTTTTAGCATCAATATGTGTCAAAATCAATCCATTTTTTAGTTTCAAAGTAAAGTTCACATTAATGTATGAACGTAGTAAATAATAAATTAAATTTGAGTCCAATTTAATACATTTTAGTGTATATTGTATGTATATATATATGTATATACGTTTATTATATACTTTTACACTTTTATTGAAAATAAGACATACCCAGCAAATAAAATTATATCCATAGTAGAAATGTCCCAAGCCAAATCTTACTTCTCTCTGTTTTATTTGCAACATAAACTGCCAAATCTAATTGAAATAAATAATTTAATAAGCGTTAAATATATACTACCATTCTTGATAGTTCGGACACTTGCATAAATTGTATCAAATGGATGAGTAAATTTAAGACATTATTATAAAACGTCGATTATGATACTTTGTCGCAGATATTAAAGAGCAACCCTATCCCTTGTGTTTAATGACATTTTTGTTACTTTTAGCTTCAAAATGTGTCAAAATCAATCATTTTTTAGTTTCAAAGTAAAACGTTCACATTAATGTATGTACGTAGAAAATAATAAATTAAATTTGAGTCCAATTTAATACATTTTCCAGAGTTGAGTTATGTAACTACAAAGTTTTAACAACATACCCGGTAAAAAATTTTTAATGAATGAATATGTTTAAATATGTATAAACATACATAAACGTGCATAAATATTCATATAAACATGAATAATTATATATGAAATATGTCTATATATGTTCATACATCCTTCTTTCTTTTGTAAAATTACTCTTTTTAGTGTAATAGAAATAATAAAAGTAAGTGAAAACATAAAAAATAATTAAAGGGATGATTTTCGTATATCGTTTGTTTTTGAAAAAATCAAGTTTGAACAAATGTTGAAAAAAATTTCTTACGTATAACTATATTATATAAACTAAAAAAAAATCGGTACATAAATAATATAGTTCAAGTGGTAATATTGTTGATTTTTTATTATAACCCCTCAATAATACGTATGTATGTGTTTAAAAAAAAAATTAAATCAAATCTTTAAATTACGCCAATTGCAAAAAGAATATATAATTTCTTGCAACATATAACATATACTATTATATTTTGTAAATTGCGAAAAGAACATATATTTTATTGCAACATATAACATTTAATTAACGAGACAAAATGATACGTACCTTTATATTTCTATTCAAGTCTTTTATATTTGCAATGCAATACAACATTTAATCTCAAAAAATTGAAGACGAAGCATCACAAAATGAGAAAATTTTATTAAAATAACTTAAATTTAAAAAATTATTCGGAGAGTATAATAGGGCTACCAGCCTGAAATTTTAATCGTTATAAATTTTGCTGGTATGTTAAATAAGTAAACAAACTTACATATACTACTGTGGGCAAAAAGTAGTAAGACTTTGTTAATAATTTTGAAATTCTTTATTTATTCTTCCAAATCTATTTCGTCCCCCTCAAAGTAATCCCCTCCGGCCCCAATACACTTGTGCCAACGTTTTTTCCAATCCTCGAAACAGTTGTTAAAGTCACTTTCCGGAATAGCCTTCAATGCGCGTAGCGATTCACGTTTAATGTTTTCAATTGACTCAAAACGGTTTCCTCGAAGCGGTCGTTCCAGCTTGCTGAACAGCCAGAAGTCGCATGGAGCTAAATCAGGCGAATACGGTGGTTGTGGAACGATATTAATTGAATTTTTGACGAAAAACTCACGAAGAATCAATGCAGTATGCGACATAAAAATCGCTGAATGCACTTTTTGTACTTCAGAAAAACAAGCGTATACTAAACACTAATGATTATTTTGATGTGATGCTTTGCACAGATGTCACTGACAGTCATACCAACGTAGATAAAAAATATTTCGACGAATGGGTTTCCGCGCGAAATTTAAATTAGAAAGTCTTACTACTTTTTGCCCACAGTAGTATATATAACTTTAATATTGTGCGCAAAAGGCAAATTAAATAAAACAAAAATAAAACTAAGTATACATACGTTTCGGTCAAGATCAGACCATTATCAATGTTCAAAACCGCAAATCGAAAAAATATATGAAACCTGCTTTAAAAATATACATAAAATTCTCTCTCAATCGCACAACATATATAAAACGCTACACAAAAATCAGTCTTTATATATAAAAGAAAGGAAATAAATCGGTACAAATATTAATACAAAAACAATTTCTATAAATAAATCGGTACAAATATTAACAATCACTGTAGTTACAAAGAAAATTGAGTCGAAATATAAGAAGTGTATAGATGAAATAGTAGTCCAAATGTGTAAAAATTTTTTAAAAAAGTCCAAATATAAAAGTCAATTTCTTATCGTTGAAAAAACCGTATAAAAAGTTATAAGATGGTTATAACTTTTGATGGATTGAAGATGGAAAAGTTATAACATGGATGAAATTGTATCTGTTAGAATTACAAAAACAAAAATGATGAAATATCTATTGAACGCAGTGTATATAAATTTTTATAAATTGTAGTAGTTAAGAAATATAGTAACACAAAAGAAAACTTGAAGAATTGCTATTTTTTTCTCAAAGATTATAATAACTACGAAATATGATAGCATAATAGAAAAGACTTGAAGTAAAACAAAGGTATGAAATCGAGTTAATAAATACCTTAATATTGTATTAATGTGAAAAAAGAAAAAATCGATGAATCCATAATATAGTGTTAGTTTAAACAATAGAAAAATCGATGAATCCATACTGTTAATATAAATAAAAATGTGATAATCGTATTAAACGGAATAGCTGTGCAACGAGAGTAAAATACAACATCTCTCCGGCAAGTCTCGAGATAATGTGAGAGCGACACACTGCGGCGGACGAGAAATGAACAGGACAAAAACGTAGGAATGGAAATAAAAGGGGGGGAGAAACGAGTAGAAGGAAAAAGCCAGAAGGAAGAGGGGTGCGTCAGGAAGAAATCAAGAGGGAGACAAAGCTTGTATGATATTAGAATAAGATTCAGGTAAAGATTCGGTATCCTGCATTTTGTTAATGCCATGCTTTTGCCTTTTTATATGGATCATCTCAGACACAAGTCTCTTGCCATATGAAGGTTCATTGTCTAAGATTCTGACTGAATCCCATTGAAAATTGTGATCAAAAGTAATTCTATGATCCGTGATGACAGAGGGTGAGCCAGTATTTTTCCGGATATCAGACTGATGCTCTTTTAATCTAGTGCTCAGCTTTCTTTTGGTCTGGCCAACATAACTAGCATCACAATTCTCACAGGAAATTTTATATACCACGTTCTGATTAGACAAAAAATTCAGCCTATCCTTACCCCTCCTGATAAGACCCCTCAGTGTGTTAGGAATACTGAAGGCTAACTTAGAATGAAACACACTGGAAATAGGAAGGAAACTTTCTGAGATCGACTTGACATAGGGGATAGTAAAATATTTATCTCTAATTAATGGATTACGTGTTGTTTTAATATTGAGTGTATGAAATTTTATTCTGTTGATAACTGTGGTGAAAATGAAAGATAACGGATAACAATTTTCAAGAAAAGTATTAATGGCATTGATAAGATTCTTTTGTTGAAAGGATGGATGTGACAATTTTAAAATCTTATCTATGGAACTAATTAGAGTACCTTTTTTATGACAAATCGGGTGGTTGGAATGGAAGTTCAGGAATCTGCCAGAATATATGTGCTCTTTTGAAAAATATCAAAGATAATACGATTATTTTCAATGATAATCGTGGTATCTAAAAAGTTAATTTTACCTCCAATGCCGGTTTCCAGAGTAAACTGCAATCTATCATGCAAAGAGTTGAACACATCTTATATATACCATACACATATATACACTTCTTATATTTCGACTCAATTTTCTTTGTAACTACAGTGATTGTTAATATTTGTACCGATTTATTTATAGAAATTGTTTTTGTATTAATATTTGTACCGATTTATTTCCTTTCTTTTATATATAAAGACTGATTTTTGTGTAGCGTTTTATATATGTTGTGCGATTGAGAGAGAATTTTATGTATATTTTTAAAGCAGGTTTCATATATTTTTTCGATTTGCGGTTTTGAACATTGATAATGGTCTGATCTTGACCGAAACGTATGTATACTTAGTTTTATTTTTGTTTTATTTAATTTGCCTTTTGCGCACAATATTAAAGTTATATATATATGTAAGTTTGTTTACTTATTTAACATACCAGCAAAATTTATAACGATTAAAATTTCAGGCTCGTAGCCCTATTATACTCTCTTAATAATATTAATTTCTTATTATTATACGTTATACGTACCATAAATAACATCCATGATCTTTTTTTCTTTAAAGGATACCTTTTTCCGTCCGGCCCAATTAAAGTGTGTTGCTAATTCGTTGGTTAACAGAAATCGTAACATGCTCACTCAACTGTGTAAGCATTTTATTAAAATATACCAACAATTAATATACTATAATAACTAATAAATCGTTTATTAAATCGTTTACTTTCTATATATTGTTCCTGTGTTTAAATAAAGTAAAATATATACAGGAAGTAGTAAATATAATTGATATAAATGGTAATAATAATGTATAACTTTTTATAATTTTTACAGGGAAATTATTGGATACGTTGAAAGTATTGAGGCTTCGCGAACTATTTGTAAAGATAACGAAAGCTACAGACTTTTTAAATTTTTTATTAATAATGGTACTGGGAAAAAGATCCAGGTAGTAGCATGGAATGATGAAGTGGATCGAATCGAACAGCTTGTTCGAACTAATTCTGTAATTTTTCTAATTTTATCTTTGCTTTTTTATATAATTAAATAATGATAATATAAAATTAAACTACTTTTGAATAGATTGTTCATTTGGATGGAGCGCAGGCAAGAAAACCTAGAAATGAAAAATTTAATCAAGGAAATGTCGAATTTGAATTATTAATTCAAAGAGGAACAGTAATTACTACTTTAGGGAATTATCATTCAAAATTGGAGCAAACTGAACCACATTATGTAAAATTAAGTGAAGTTATGAACACCTCGCATCGTATTAGTAAGTTTTGTGTAGATTTAATTAATATAAGTTTGAATACAGTTATTTATGGTTTTCAATTGTACGTTCCTTTAATTTATGTATATAAATAATAATAATAATAATAACAATAAAAGTAATAACAATAACAATTATAATAATATAACAATTTAATAAGGTAACAAAAAATATAATGTCATAATGCAAAATAATAATATATTTTCGTATATTTGTAATAGTTCTGGAAGCATATATTAAAACGAATTTTATAACAAAATATCATCACAAGTTGAACAAGCACATAGGATGCGGGTCAGTTTCAGATGGATTCTATAAACTTGAAACACATATAACGAATTTCAACGAAAAAGAATACTCAGCATTGAAGTATAACAAAGGAGACAAAGTTGAAATTACAGGAACCATGCAAAATTCATGTAAGTATAATGTATTTTTAATTTTAAAAAAATGTATATATAAGTAATAACAATAACACAACAATAACAACAATAACATTTTCTCTTGAGTTCTACATTAAAATTTACAATCAAATAAATTAATTTTACAGCTATTCCACCATATCTAATAGTTGATAATGTACATGATATAAAACGTAAAGATGGAAAAATGTCTCTCATTCAATTGTATAAGGCTAACGAAACATTCAGAAAAAGAAAAGCAGATGACAATGAGGTATAACATAAAAATATAACACTAAAAATATATATAACTCTAAATATAGTAAAATAATAATTAAAATAATACTAATAATAATTAAATACAGAAACATTATAATAATTAGGATATTTTTTCAGGGACAATGTAAGAGAACTTCATTTAATTTGAATAAGAAAGATTAAAAGTAAAAATATGTTATATTAATATTGATATTATATTGAAATATGTTATGTTAATATCATGATAGTTTAATATGTATGTTGCATAAATGTGAAAAGGTTGTATCTTTAATTCAATTAATATAATTAACTATTATATATTGAACTCCGATTAAAATACCATTAAGTCTTAAACACAATACGAAGGAATAGCGATAGCGGTAGAACTAACAGATTTCAACTTATCAGACATCCGCGTATTCCGATGTATTCAGTTTCAGGTAGATTGAAATCTATTACTTTTTATTTCTATCGCTATTCCCACGCATTGTGTCTTAGGTTTTAATTATAATTGTTCATGTTGTTTTTAACATTGTTTGTATCAACATTGTTTGTATTAAGATTGTATTAACATTCATGTTATATTATATTATTTTAAATGATTGTATATTTATATTAAATAAAATATTAAGGCTGTACTTCCGAATGGGACACCCCTCCGATCGAGCTGAAATTTTACAGAGAATACTGTTACGATGTATAGTGATTATTTATAAAGATCCGATCTTCGGGTTTTGTATAGTTTTTAAAATAAAAAAAATAAAAATGTAACTATTACGGGGGGTTCTTCCGAATGGGACACCCCTCCGATCGAGCTGAAATTTTACAGATATATATAATATTGTTACGGAAGAATACCCAATATTAATTGTAATGTTTCAGCTGCTTGTACTTTTTATTAAGTTCTTTTTATATTAAATAAAATTTTATTTGTAATAATTCCACTCTTTTTACTTTTTACTAAATTCCTTTTATTTTTCTTACCTTCAATCTTTATTTATTCTTTTCTTGCCTTTCTCTCTCTCTGCATTTTTTTCTTCTTTCTTTATTAAAAAAATAGTTGAAAAATGCCGATTTTTATCCATATAATTAATAATCTAAATTACTTATTTATTACTTGCACCGTGTAGAACTTATTTGTGAAGGAATGATATTTTCTTTAAATTACACAATATTTAATGATTATTTAAACACAAAACATTAGCTATATATTTTTTAAAACAGAAAATTATAAAATTTATTATTTACAATTACCGTAAGTATTAAAATTCAAATATTTAAGTTTGGATATAGTAAATATACACGTATAATATAGTAAATACATATGTGTAAAATTTTTTTTAGGCAGTTTAATTTTATGATCCTTTAATTAATTCATTTTGAAACTTTTCTTTCTTTATCTGAAAATATATCTTACCTGTCCAATAAATCGAATTGATTCTTTAAATGATTATTGTTGTGATTATTTATAACAATATAATCAAGAGAACTGAAGATCCTATTATATTTAACATATAAAAATATCACTCAATTACATGCATTTAACATTTTATTTTATCAAAAAGTATAAAGTAATTTTTACAACATCATAATAGTTTTAGAACTCGAAATTTTTCATTTTTGGAAACTCTATTCACATACATACAAAAATAGAGATAATGATGAAAAATATTATCATTAGAATTGCTTTAATCACGAGTAAACATAAATTGTAGTAAATAATGTTGCATTAGTAATAATGAAATGTTTAAGAGATAATGTACAAAAGTGCATAATGTATAAATGTAAGTGACATAATATTTTTTTGTAGTACAAATACCACACACATAATTGTACTAAAATCAAATACTAATTATTATCCTTAGTTGAAATCTCTTCTTACTTTTCCTCCCTTGCTTCCTCCTTTCATTATTTTATATATATCCGTTTTTCTTTTCCATTCGCAATGTTTGACAGTAAAAGAAAACCAATAACTGAAAATAAAATACAACACAAAGTATCAATTTTTTATGATAAGATTATAAGATATTATAAAAAGTTTAAATAAATAGGTTATACTTATCTGAAACAAGCCGTCAAAAGGGAAAAGAGAAGCCTTATCCAACAATTAAGAAAGCCTTTTTATTTATTGTAATATATTAGGTTTGCTAACCCTTCGATACACACAACTGTCAATAGCACGATTTCCATCGCGTTGACAGCTGCTCACGAAGTAAGCGCAACGAGAGAACCAATCGGCAACGCGGAAAAGAGTCAACAATAAACTTCGAGACTTTCGAGAAGACTTCAATAAATGCGAGAATCGATTTAACATGCCTTTTTTTAGATAGGAAAATCACTTTTTTAAAAAAAGGTAAAATAAGGCGCCAAGTGTGCCTGTACCTCCCATAAAAAACTGTTACATAAACTAAAAAAAACCGTTACATAAATAATATAATTCAAGTGGTAATATTGTTAATTTTTTATTATAAATTATCCCTCAGTAGTACGTACGCATGTATTAAAAAAAATAAAGTACAATTTTCAAATTGCGCCAATTACAAAATGAACATATATTTTCTTGCAACATATAACATAAACTATTGTATTTTGTAAATTGCAAAAAGAACATATATTTTATTGCAACACATAACATTTAATTAACGAGACAAAAAGTGGTACGTACTTTTATCTTTCTATTCAAGAGTCTTTTATATTTGCAATGAAATACAACAATTAATCTCAAAAAATTAAAGACGAAGCATCACAAAATGAGAAAATTTTATTAAATAACAAAATTTTTTATGTAAAAAAACTTGGCGTGCTGATAGACCTCAAAATATAATAAGTAAATGTAATATAAAAGGAATAAACGATGTTTACTGTTTAATTAACATTAATTAAGATTAAAATTACAATCACAATTATAATACAATTAAGATTATAATTAATTTTAAATCTACTTTTAAATTTAACTTAAACCGCATGTCTTACAAATCTGAAATCATTATTCTATTCTTATTCGCTTTTACGATATATAACGCGCATCATATAAATACTTATCCTATATTAAATCTAAGCCACATACCTATCTAAATTTGCTCGCATATATAAACACGCTGTATTTTATTAATTCACCTCATACTCTTTCTTAAATATCTTCATTACTTTTCATATTTGGTATTTTTACTTATTTGCTCGTACATACGCACACACACACACACGCGCGCGCGCGCGC